TACCTCACCTCTAACTGCTGTAGCTTGCAAGGGCGTCGGGACGCTGAACAAGGGCTGACGACACTCAGATGCGGGCTGTGTACTGAGCTGGTAGTGAGGTTTCCACCTGAGATGATGCCGTGTCGCGTATGTACTTTTCTGAGCATAAATATGGATGGGAAAACGTCTCTGTCGTCTAGTAGAATGCTGGGACGAGCTGTGAACGCAGTAGGTATGCATATGATATCAATGAAGCGAGATGAACCTAGACCTTAACTCACCCCTTGGGACGTAATTTCCCTTACTCTGCTGGGAACACCGCTGCAATCAGTGTTATGAGGTCTTCTTGTGGATAGGTCGCCGAAGGTAATGTGGAGATTACCCATACACCTGTAGACTAGAGGTGGCTTTATTAACAAAGAGAGTACACTAGAAAAACGCTTGTTGGGGTAGAATGAAAAGTGAGAGCTTGTCGCTAGGTCTGACCTAGAGGCCTGACCTCCGTTGGACATTTCTGAAACCATGCTTTAGGCCAACAATTATCCCTAGTGGGAGGTATGTGAAACAGTAAGTAGGCATACTGTCTACAATTACGGCGTTATTTTAAACTATATCTTTGAGATATATTCTGTTGTGTATTCTCCCAAGCTTCCATAGATCTGAGTAACTCTATCAACCTTACATCCCACTGAGATCTATTTCCACAGGCATTGTTTATTAATGTTTTCCACATACTGGCTATTTTCCTTGCAAAGTATCTTTCAGAACTGCTAGTGTTTCAAAAAACGCGATTTCTAATAAGCTTAGAGATCTCCAGTGAATACTAGAAAGGACTGCCCTTCTAGCATCCAGCCTGTTACTGGGTTTTCGTAACAATTAGTCAGTATCCTTGCCCAATTATCCATTAGAATTCCATAAGAATTATTAGTGCTTCAGGATTACGACTGGTAGGCTACTAACTAGAGAAATTAAAATTTAATAAATTTATTAATAATTAAGTTGTCTAGGAGTATATCAAATTAAATTAAATTAAATTAATTGCAGTAATCAAAATAATATTAATCACTTCTCTCGTGTACAGTATTATTGTGCTGAAAGCACATATCTCATATTTATGTCTTAAGTACCATCTGGTACATTAACATTTAATAATACTATATACATATAAGTTTATGTGTATGTGTGTAAGTGCTCTAAGTAGTTCGCTATGTCTCACGACTCTACTAGACTTAAACAAGTGACTGACAAAGTCCTCACATAAACTACCTTCTTGACCAACTGGCAATCAGAACAGTCTGCTTGAACAATAAAAAGAATGCTAAGCCCAATAGCAATATAACAAGCAACTGCGACACAGAATCAGGAACAAGGAGATAACATAACGACACTAAGTAGAGACCATCAGCAGATCCTCCACAAAAGTCACAAAACTCCCATACTACTGAATCTAAGTTCAGCATAAGAAAATACCCGACTGTGATAATACACAGATACCAGTACAAGTTAGGTCAGAAGCTACAGCTCAGGACCTGAGTTGCTCAGAGTGTCTAAGAGACACACAACCTCAGTGCAACGTCGAAAATCACTAAGTCTATACAATGTTCTGTGAACAGAGTCCCTCAGAGCCTACAACAATAATGAGACAGAGACGATCTTCCAACAAGAGCCAATAAGGGAGATTTAGACACTTGTCAGGAATACGTCCAACCACCAAGAGTCTAGACCAGACTGAATACTTCAGGCGAGGTGTGATCACCCCCCCCCTCGATCACGTGATAGCTCCGTGGACAGTTGCTGCCCAGCAACACAGAAGCCGGCAGAGTAACGAGCCACCAACGATAATTACAGTAGTTAGACAATCAAGACTTGAGCTATGAGCACATAATATGTTATATCCTACCTAACAACATAACTAAGTCAAATAATAATATAAAGCAGTATATTTACTATTTAGCTATTATCGCAAATATAAGCAATATAAAATTATATGAAAAGGTAATATACATTATATACATATACATAATATACATCATATACATTGTGACCCATTCAGGGGTTGCAACACTAGTTACGATCGCTCAGGCCCACTTGAGACAGTCTAGGGATCATAAAACTGGGAATACGAAATGCAGGTTTAAAACAAGTGAGTTGTAAGTTTCGCTTTAAAATCATTATTTGCAGAGTTGCTCCATCTTGAAACTCCTGGTAACCCTTGTCTTTCACTGTCTTGTAGACATTTTGTTGATCCTGTTGATTTATGTATCAATTTCCATCACTGTTCTTTTGAAGACTCTGTATTCGACTCAAGAAGCCTACTGTGTTGGCGAAACGTTTCGGAATAAGGATACCTAGCTGCTGCACATGTGTCTCACTTATCCGCCATAGGTACATTGGTACGAATTTGTATGTTTTGTACATTCATCTTACAGTAAAGTTCCTTACTTATTTTCATACAACACTTTCTTAAAAGCATGTTCCCTCTAGTTTGTGTTTTTTGGAAGTAACTGGAAAACTGATAATTTCTTAGTGTCGCGTCTGAATAGCTTCAGCCTTTCTATTTTGCTAACTTAGTGATGCTATCTCTGAGGCTGTCATGTTTAATGTGCTTTGAATTTTCGAACACTTTTTTCTTTTCTTCTCTCTCTCTTTGAAGCGTCTGAATTAGATTTGGGTTGTGTATGTTCTACTTTAATATTTTAATTAGTTTTCATATGATGGTTTGTAAATGAGTTATCATTTCACTGAAATCTTCATTGCTAATATTTAAGTGAAGTATGAACTTAAACCGCACTCTGCACTATTTCTTACGCGTTCATTGAGGCACATGCGTCTTGGGTTATGTAATATCAGAATATCTTTCTTCGATCGTGACCAACTGAAGTACATCTGGTTCATTCTTCTTCAGTGGGCATTCCAGAAATGTACATCATTTGCATAAAGAATGTTCCAATCAGTGTGTTATGTCAGCAATTGTTATTTCTTCATGCTTTTACAGGGTTCGATTCATCTCGAAAAACTCGTGAAATGTGACCTAATCTTCCAATCCTGTGCAAAAATCGCACAATCATTGAAAACCTCGGCAGGCAAGGGAAGGCTGTTTTGCATGGTGGGAGGATTACATTCTTGGTCTCTAGCGACCTTGGCAAAGAATGTCGTCTCTCCACAATGCTTTAAATATCTTCCATCAGCTGAATCTTTCACCAAATTCCATTGTTTTAAGATGCACTTTCAGATCATGACATGGACGGGGAAGGAAGATGATAGTGATCCTTTGAACTGGAGTAGAAGATTTGTGAGGATTCATTTTTTTCCCATAACGTCTCTCACGAATGTTGAACAGAAGATAGGAACTTCCATGTACTTATGTATGTGGATCCTGCCAACTTACAAAGCAACTTGACGATGCTTCTGAGAACTTTTCTGAGACTTTACAAGTTTATACTTAACTTTTTTACTGTTGAGTTCATAATGATCTTAAAAATTTATCATGAGTTTCATTTAGTAAGATTTTTCATTGTATCTTACTGTATATATTCTCTGAAATACTTTGTTATGAAACATGTCAACAAAGTTATTCTCAAAAATAAGATTTTTCATATTTTATGAGCCTGAAGGAGCATTTGGGTGTTATGTTAGTGATGACTGTTGGCAGCCATCTTTGATTTAAGGTCTGGGTAGTCGAACTGATATTCTGTGGCACTAGATTTAGATTTTGCCACCGAAGTGGCTAGTTTATTGTGCACCCCATATCCATCCTGTGGACGGTAGCACAAGAGCTCTATGGCACTAATGAATTCTTTGATCCTTATAACCGTAGATTATACAGAAAAATCATTGTTCTAAACCTAACAGTAAGATCAGTTGTTATTACCTAGAAATTAACTCAATTTTAACCACATTCCATTGGTTAGATTTTGGTAGAATTTTCTGTGGGTCTGATGATATATTGACCAGAATATAATTAATCATCAGTTCAGTAAAACATCTTACGATGAAGTTCACTAAACTTTTCTTTTCATCGCATGAGAGTATGAGAAAAGAAGTTTGTTTAATTCTCTATAATCCCACCTGTGTCTTCTGTTGTAAATTCCAGTTATATTGGAGTTCGTGGTCATGTACTTCCTTTGAGGTTCATTCATATCACTTCAAGAATAAATTGTCTATCACAAACCTGACGTCAAGTGATGTAGTGAAGATGTTAGTGGAGGGTGATAGATGTCACCTGATGAGTTGCATGTGGGTGTTAGTTTCTGAACTAAGAGATAATGAAATTCTCACCTTGTTTACATATGCTAGACTGTTTGACATTACATGTATGCTTGAAAATGCCAAATTAAGCCACGAAGGTACGTTCCTTGAAATGAAATATTTCAATATAATTTAAAAATGAAACTAAGACGAACACATACAAACACACACCTAATAAAACTGTTAATATATACAACACTAACACCAAAAACTACTTGCATTATCAACTTTGAATAACAACTTCATCGTCTAATTCCTCAATTAACACATAATACCTCACTTCCTGTACAATATTACATTTTCACCCTTCTAAATAACATCTGAACCTGAGTTATCTTCGTTGAAAGTACCACCATAACGTTTAAACTCTACTCCCTAACACTGCCAGTGATTCCCATTTCCTTCCCAATATGTGATCTATGATATTACAAACACCAGCACTAATATCTCATTAATAATTAATCATTTACTAACTCTCCCTCCTCCCAAGTACATAACCACTTCCAACACTCTCCTTGGTAGCAGTTAACGTCACCCACAATTCCCTCTACAAATCTCTACCTCCTTCCGGGTAACAGCAGGTACCACCAAATACCTGGACTAACTCAGGCAGGTGATTCACAACACCCTCCACTAATACTTCTGCCCCCTTCCAAGCAGGTGATTTCTAAAGCCTCCACCTCCGAAGCAGAATCGATAACGAACTCAACTAATCCTCATGCCCTAAGCTCTACATGTGACATCTAACACCTTCCACTGACTCGGATTTCGTGCCCTGCAGGTGATCCTCGCTACGAGGTAGTTGAGGACGAGCAAGAAGAGGGTGTAAGGAACATCTTGGTGATCCATGACGCTGATACTCACGACTTTGGTGCCTACAACTGCTCAGTAGTAAATGAGTACGGCGTCGCCAGGAAGCAGATCAGACTTAACAAGGAAAGTGAGTATTATTCTACTGATCGTAACGATACTATAAAAAATAAATATTTATAGCTTTTCCATCCTCGTCACCTCCACTAGGTGAAATTGTTGCAAAAAACTGCAATAAAAGAAAATGAGATAAATATTGTTTGCTCTGTAAGCTTGGTGCTCACCATAGGAGATGGGTAGTGTCGCCCCGATACTTGATTCATGAAGCTTCTGGTATTGTTTATATCTCTCGCATGGATCAGAAGATGCAGTGATTAATTACAATCATTAAACCTCATTGTTTACGTGTCTCGGGATCATTCAGCTTGAGTCAGTATTTTAGCAAAAATGTGCATTTTTTTATATTTTTTTCATCTGCAGAAGTCCAGGCCTTACCAAATACATTATGGTATTTAATATTTATTATAAAACCAGATGATAACGATAACCCGTCGTTACGAAAAATTGTTGGTCCTCGTAAGAATTCTTTCATAAGCCATCCTCTACATACCCTTGCATTCTTTTGCACACGCTGGTGAGTGAGCAACCTCTAAGTGGATGCTCGTGGATTGGTTGCATTTCTGTAAAAGTTACCAGGAAAAGCGTCACGATACACGTACCGGTACTAGTGAGTGACCAGGTTTTTTTAAGTTTGTGCAGAATACAAAGCATATTGCACAACAAGTTGAATTTTAAGTTTATCACACTCAAAATCGAGAAACAAAATAATGAGCATATCATCGAATTTAACGATTTTTTCAAATTTTTGTACTAGAAAAAAAGAGGCCAAACTATAAAAATGAATAAAGATTATTACTTAACAATTTACAGAGTATAATATTTTGTGTCCCCAAAATATAAAAAAAAATCACAGGAAGTATTAAATATGATTATTTACTTAAACTGAAATCAACTGGTGTTTGTATTTACCTAAAGAGTTAAGAATCCGAGAAGCCTACCCGGATATCGTAGCTTGTTTGTTAGCACACTTACCTCACGCACTGAGATCCGTAGTTCGATCCCCGGTACGGGTGGAAACGTTGGCCACGTTTCCTTAAGACACCTGCTGCCCCTTTTGACCTAGCAGTAAGTAGGTACCTGGGTGTTAGCCGAATGGTGTGAGTCGCATCCTGGGGACAAAATTAACCTAAGTTTCCCGAAATGCTCTGCATAATCAGGGACTTTCTATAGTAGGTCATTATTGTCAGCTAAGTCTGTATAAGTTGTATCAAGTACCTGTACAAATGAACATTATTATTAATATTATAATTATTTGATATTAATACCAAACCTTGCTGCTCTTTGCATTTCATTAAGTTTTTGAATGGTCTAAGAGATCATTTGGATGCTGCTGGATTGGCTGATGTATGGGCGGGGTCACCTGATGAAAAGACATGTACAAAGGGAGTGGGGGGGTGGGTGGGGTTCTCAAAAACCCACTTGTCAAGGACTCTGAAGGAAAATATTTTCTTCCTGTATGGAACTAATTCAATACATTTATTAAAAGCTAAATGTATTGAATTAGTTCCACACAAAACGTTTGAACACTGGTGACCTTTTCAATTTTCTTACAGAGACATGTAAAGTACATCATATATAACGGATGTGCAGATATGTCTTAGTTACAAGCGCAACTGTGACATTTTTATTGTGGCAACGTTTCGCTCTCCAGGAGCTTTGTCAAGCCGATAGGGCTTGATAAAGCTCCTAGAGAGCGAAACGTTGCCACAATAAAAATGTCACATTAGTTGCACTTGTGTCCTTTTACTTCACATTATCATACCTGTGCATATTTTTATTATTATTATTATAATCAAGAGGGAAGCGCTAAACCCGTAGGTTTATACAGCGCCTATGGGGGGGTGGAAGGCACTCAGACTTAATTCAGGGAACTGGAGCACAGATCCAATTCCCTAGATCAAGAGCCCCTCACCAGCGTCAAGGAACCTTCCTTAAGGGGATACCTCTGCATAGATTGAAAATCTAAGGAATACACGCAGATCATTGATGGCGTCTCTGGTTATACATGAGCACTGCCGATGTTGACATTCTGTTATTATTACGTGATAAACATGTATACAGGATTACCAAAAACATGAAAGGATATAATGTATTATTTTTCACTGCATCTCCCACTACAAACTCTTCATAAGAAGAAATTAGTTCAAAAATTTCTTGCTCCCTTACAAAAGAGAATGTAAAAAAACTGTAAAATATTGCCAGTATAAACCCACAACTTGGTAAAACAAAATGGCTTTTGAATATATATATTTTAAATGATTCAGATCACTATTTTAATAGGAAAAAACAAGAATCACCTACCTTTATGAGATAAATGTTGATGAACGTTCAAATTTAATTTCCATCGGATAAAAGTAGTCACAAGTCTCTTGTATATACATGTATATAAATTGAGAGTAAATATTCAGTATGTGAGTAAAAATAGATGAAAAGTTTATTATTCTTAAGATCCATGAAGACTGTTCGCTGGACATTGTTTCTCTTCTCTCATTTTCATTATAAATAAAGAACTGTTGACATCCGTGGTGGTGGCTGCCTGACTAGTAATAAAGAACTGTTGACATCCGTGGTAGTGGCTGCCTGACTAGTAATAAAGAACTGTTGACATCCGTGGTAGTGGCTGCCTGACTAGTAATAAAGAACTGTTGACATCCGTGGTAGTGGCTGCCTGACTAGTAATAAAGAACTGTTGACATCCGTGGTGGTGGCTGCCTGACTAGTAATAAAGAACTGTTGTTATCCGTGGTGGTGGCTGCCTGACTAGTAATAAAGATCTGTTGTTATCCGTGGTAGTAGCTGCCTGACTAGTAATAAAGAACTGTTGTTATCCGTGGTAGTGGCTGCCTGACTAGTAATAAAGAACTGTTGTCATCCTTGGTAGTAGCTGCCTGACTAGTAATAAAGAACTGTTGTTATCCGTGGTAGTGGCTGCCTGACTAGTAATAAAGAACTGTTGTTATCTGTAGTAGTGGCTGCCTGACTAGTAATAAAGAACTGTTGTCATCCGTGGTAGTGGCTGCCTGACTAGTAATAAAGAACTGTTGTCATCCGTGGTAGCTGCCTGACTAGTAATAAAGAACTGTTGACATCCGTGGTAGTGGCTGCCTGACTAGTAATAAAGAACTGTTGTCATCCGTGGTAGTGGCTGCCTGACTAGTAATAAAGAACTGTTGTTATCCGTGGTAGTGGCTGCCTGACTAGTAATAAAGAACTGTTGTTATCCGTGGTGGTGGCTGCCTGACTAGTAATAAAGAACTGTTGACATCCGTGGTAGTGGCTGCCTGACTAGTAATAAAGAACTGTTGTCATCCGTGGTAGTGGCTGCCTGATTAGTAATAAAGAACTGTTGTTATCCGTGGTGGTGGCTGCCTGACTAGTAATAAGACTGTTGTTATCCGTGGTAGTGGCTGCCTGACTAGTATATAAGAACTGTTGTTATCCGTGGTGGAGGCTGCCTGACTAGTAATAAAGAACTGTTGTTATCCGTGGCAGTGGCTGCCTGACTAGTAATAAAGAACTGTTGTTATCCGTGGTGGTGGCTGCCTGACTAGTAATAAAGAACTGTTGTCATCCGTGGTAGTGGCTGCCTGACTAGAAATAAAGAACTGTTGTTATCCGTGGTAGTGGCTGTCTGACTAGAAATAAAGAACTGTTGACATCCGTGGTGGTGGCTGCCTGACTAGTAATAAAGAACTGTTGTCATCCGTGGTAGTGGCTGCCTGACTAGAAATAAAGAACTGTTGTTATCCGTGGTAGGGGGCTGCCTGACTAGAAATAAAGAACTGTTGTTACCGTGTAGTGGCTGTCTGACTAGAAAATAAAGAACTGTTGTTATCCGTGGTGGTGGCTGCCTGACTAGTAATTTAAAGAACTGTTGTTATCCGTGGTAGTGGTTTGCCTGACTAGTAATAAAGAACTGTTGTTATCCGTTGGTGGTGGCTGCCTGACTAGTAATAAAGAACTGTTGTTATCCGTGGTGGTGGCTGCCTGATTTAGTAATAAAGAACTGTTTTTATCCGTGGTGGTGGCTGCCTGACTAGTAATAAAGAAACTGTTGTCATCCGTGGTAGGGGCTGCCTGATTTAGTAATAAAGAAACTGTTGACTTTCCGTGGTAGTGGCTGCCTGACTGTAATAAAGAACTATAGACATCCGTGGTGGTGGCTGCCTGACTAGTAATAAAGAACTGTAGACATCCGTGGTGGTGGCTGCCTGACTAGTAATAAAGAACTGTTGACATCCGTGGTGGTGGCTGCCTGACTAGTAATAAAGAACTGTTGTTATCCGTGGTAGTGGCTGCCTGACTAGAAATAAAGAACTGTTGTTATCCGTGGTAGTGGCTGCCTGACTAGTAATAAAGAACTGTTGACATCCGTGGTGGTGGCTGCCCTAAACTAGTAATAAAGAACTGTTGTTTCCGTGGTAGTGGCTGCCTGACTAGTAATAAAGAACTGTTGTTATCCGTGGTAGTGGCTGCCTGACTAGAAATAAAGAACTGTTATCCGTGGTGGTGGCTGCCTGACTAGAAATAAAGAACTGTTGTTATCCGTGGTAGTGGCTGCATGACTAGTAATAAAGAACTGTTGACATCCGTGGTAGTAGCTGCCTGACTAGTAATAAAGAACTGTTGTTATCCGTGGTGGTGGCTGCCTGATTAGTAATAAAGACCTGTTGATATCCGTGGTGGTGGCTGCCTGACTAGTAATAAAGAACTGTTGTTATCCGTGGTAGTGGCTGCCTGACTAGAAATAAAGAACTGTTTACATCCGTGGTAGTGGCTGCCTGACTAGTAATAAAGAACTGTTGTTATCCGTGGTAGTGGCTGCCTGACTAGTAATAAAGAACTGTTGACATCCGTGTTAGTGGCTGCCTGACTATAAAGAACTGTTGACATCCGTGGTAGTGGCTGCCTGACTAGAAATAAAGAACTGTTGACATCCGTGGTAGTGGCTGCCTGACTAGTAATAAAGAACTGTTGTTATCCGTGGTAGTGGCTGCCTGACTAGTAATA